AGTTCCATGTGTGTCACTGTTTGAAGACATGTAAAAAAAGGAGATTGACCTGAAAACAGTATTGGCTAGCATAAGAATGTTTTCTGCATAGGAAATAGTCTTCCGATGAACTGTTAAACTGCACTGTATTTGACAAACCTTGCATGATAACACTGGGTTATTTTTTTCTTCAGCTACAAAACTTAATTTCTGCTTCTTAAAACCCCAGATTGATTAGCCACTGGTGGTTCGTGCCACCTTCATACAAGGGGAGCACACCTGTCTCTGGAGCCTCTGTAGCTCTGACCTCTGCTCTGATCGCAACTGGATCACTTCGTGCCTGCAGTTGCCCCAACTTTTGGATCTTTACTGTATCCCACCTTAATGAGGATGGTCACATTAAGAAAAGCTTGCTCATGATTCTTAATCTGTTGTGCTGCTTTTTAACTTCTAAATGTAGGCTTTCTTGGAAAAGTCTCTAACCCTATTATGGATAAGTTGAAAAATGAGCCAGCAGGAGGTGAATGAGTGGTGTTCCATTTGCTAGAAGTAACATACACCAGGTTCCCAGACTTACTGATCTAAGCATATGGCTGAGTTGCCTTTTCTGAAGATTATAGCTGAAAATTATAGTTCAGTTAAAAAGTTATGATTTGATTCTGTGCTGGTTGTCCCAGCTCATGGTGCTGCTGAAAGGATCTTCTGTCACTGAAGGCTTGGGTTGATGGAGCTCCTTTCTGCACGGGTGCCTGCCTTCCACAAAGACTTCCCCCTGCATCTGGTAGAGGAAAAGGCAGAGGTGGGAGCTGCTGGTGCTCAGCTTGTAGCACTGGGAGCTCGCCCCACAAGGATGACACTGAGCTGGTCTCTTTGTAGGCAAAGTCCATTTCCTTTGCTCTAGCAGAGCAGAATTTCAGTGGGGCTTCTTTGGGTGTGACTGTATGTTGAGAATCAATCAGCTTGTAGAAGAAATTATTCAGTGTTATCTGTCTCTAGAGATGTTTTTGCTTTTGGGTTTTTGGTTTTTTTTTTCTTGCTTCCTTTGTACATTGTAACTCTCTCAAGGGATTAAGTTATCAAATACACCTTTCAGGAGAAAGAAAAGGGTTTTCTGTTCACACCTTATTTTTCTATTGGAAAACTGAGTATGCATACCCACTCTAAAAGACTTGTGTATGAAACTGATGCACACACTTTCTGAATATTATATATTATTGCATGTAATTGATAGATTCATGGTATTATAACTTGGATTTTGAACTCTTGCTTTCTCAAACTCATAGGTTACTGGTGATCTGAAGGGTGCCAGTGAAGGCAAACAGTTTTACCAGAAACTCCATTCACTGAAGACCTCCATCTTGGAGGTGGCCCATCTTGACACTAATTGCTGTCTGTTGTGTGGTTGTGGGTGTTTGATTTCTGAAAGGACGTGATTGATTCCATTATTTGGAGTGGCAGGAATTGAAGTATCTATCATTGGCAGACAAATATGAACCTGATGACTGAATTGCTACAGTATACGGCTTTTAAAAAACTATCAGAATATAATTTAAAGCCTTTGTGAATTCCTGTAGCTTACACAGCTGAATGCTCTCCTCTCCCTTCCCATTAATGCCGGTAGTCCTAGTAGTTACAACAACAAACTACATGAGAAATTATTTACAGCAGTTTAAATTGCAAAGTGGTTGTAAGTGAAAGTAAATGAGTGCTGAGCTCTATAGGTTTAAGAATTTGAATCAACATATTTATCATGCAGGGGAATAAATTACATACGAATAATTAAATATCTTGTTTGAGATATTTCTGCACATCTCATTTGATATATTTGCTGTTGCATTCAGTGTTTGGACTTCTGCAGGCTTTTAGAGTTTGTGAGGTAATATCTATAGCACAGACAGAAGTCAAGAAAAAATATTTTTAAATTTACCAAGGAAACATCCATGTACATGGACACACACACACACACACACACATATCCTAGATTCAGCTGTGGCTGATTAAGTGGGGTTTGCTTCTTATGTCAGATAGATGAGACCTTCATAACTCAGTTTTCAGATTCTTAATGTCCCTGTTTTCTGTCATTTATTTCCTTTGAATATCCCGAGCATCAGCCATTCATACAGATGTGTACTGTGTCTCCCTGGGTCCCCTGGGTGATGTGGCTGAGATCATTCTGAAAGGTTCTTATTCTCTGGTTTTAAAAATTCATTCTCTTTATATTTTAATTTCCATCCCAGCTGTCTGTGATCTTTAAAGAATATTTAATTCTCTTTGCTGGCTCTGTTTCATGATTGAAATTTAAATAAAAACTCACCCATCACATTCTTCTCTGACAATTTATAAAAAAAATGTTTTTCAGTGCAGAATAATTGTGTGATTGCATCAGTTGGCGTCTTTTCTGTGCAGTTTAAGCCTGATGTCGCCAGTGGTGACTGAGAGAGAATAAATGGCTCTCCAGGCTGGCCCAGAGTGGGGAGAAGACTTCAGCAGTGGCAGTTCTCACAATGCAGTTGCACATGAGATTATTCACAGTGCCCTCCTTAGTGTGTTTGCTGGTTCATGGAGCCCATGGACCTCCTGTCACATGGGCTAAAAAATGTGGGTTTACTGCTCCTTTCATCCGTGCTGTGTTGGGATCAGTTAGAGAGAGGAATCAGTACTGTCATCTCTTCTGAAATCTTTCTGACACTTCACTCTAAAAGAATATCTTCACTGTAAAGTGTCTGTCATGTGCCAGTTACATTTACTAATAGGTTAAAAATTAAAGAGAATGGTGCATTTTTTACTTTCTCTGAAAATGGAAAGCTGTTTTTCTGCAAAAGCCTTGGTGACTGATGAATCATAGAATGGTTTGGGTTGGAAGGGACCTTAAAGCTCATCTAGTTCCACCCCCCTGCCATGGGCAGGGACACCTTCCACTAGCCCAGGTTGCTCAAAGCCCCGTCCAACCTGGTCTTGAGCACTGCCAGGGAGGGGGCAGCCACAGCTTCTCTGGGCAACCTGTGCCAGTGTCTCACCATCCTCAGTGAAGAATTTCTTCCTTATGTCTAATCTAAATCCATGCTCTTTCAGTTTAAAACCATGACATCTCATCCTACCACTACACTTCCTGATAGAGTCCCTCCTCTGTAGCCCCCTTTAAGTACTGAAAGGCCGCTATAAGGTCTCCCTGGAGCCTTCTCTTCTGCAGGCTGAACAATCCCAACTCTCTCAGCCTGTCCTCACAGGGGAGGTGCTTCAGCCCCCCGATCATTTTTTGTGGCCTCCTCTGGACCCACTTGAGAAGGTCCATGTCCTTATGCTGGGGGCCCCAGAGCACTGAACGCAGTATTCCAGATGGGGTCTCACAAGAGTGGAGTAGAGGGGGAGGATCACGCTTCTTTTGATGCAGCCCAGGTGTGATCCCCCCTTCCTTTCTTGCATATATCAGATGGGAGAAATACAGTAAACTAGATGATACTTAATTGCTTGGGAGGCAACTCTTTCCCTCCTAAGAAACAAAAAGTGGCCTTTGTCCTTGGGAGAGACAGACATTGCTGCTGAGCATATCTGAGGTCTCTAGAACTCATACAGGTCTAAGGATCTTTGATCCTGGAAGATATTTTGACATCTGAAGTTTAATTGTTATCTCTATTAGGAATCTTATGGTTGAAATGTTGTAGCATGAAAATGTGCATCTTTTTCCATATGCTCTTCTATGAATTTCTGATCTGCACTCCCTCTTTATTATGACTTTAAGTTATTTACTATCTACAATGTAGTCTATTAGTAGAAGTTATAATGCTGGGGTTTGGACTGTATGTAGCAATATGTGTTGCTAATTTATATGCCTCAGATGCTGATAAAAATAAAGATCAAAAGTAGTATTTAATTCCATAGGGAAAACAGATCAGACTGTTGATGGAAGACTGCCCTAGATTCATGAACAAAGTATTGACTCATTATAGTAGGTTGATTCAGAAAATGTTTTCTTTTTTTTCCCCCCCCTGAGTTAGGTGGTGTGCTTGTTTGCAGTGTCAGAATATTTGCAAACAAAATATAGATTATCCCTTTCCTAGGGTGAAATTATTTGTGCAATTTGGAACTTGTTGATATTTTTCACAGTCGGTGAAGAGTAACTGGCACATGGGCAATTCTGACAAAAGAGAAATGCAGAGAGGTACTGGACTTCATCAGGAAAAAAATACATAGGCCAGGCAAAGGAACATATTTCAAATGTAGATCCTTCCCTGCAAGAGCAGGTGAGGCAGTAGTGCCTGATGTGCCCCAGTACCTGCAAGACTCCAGCCTTTATTTGTAGCAGCCAGCAAGCCAGTGATGTACTTGTTACATGACCCATCATTTTTAATGAATTAAATGTAATGAACTGTTTAACATTGTGAGAAAATATTTTTAGAAAGAAACGATCTTGGTCAAAAGTAACTCCCTGCCATGAACTCAGGAAATTATTTCATGTATTATTTAAACACTCTGTTAGCAATTTGCTTTGACTAGTTCTGGCAGCAGTCTGTTGGGGAAGACAGGTGCCTTGTCATTCTTACCAGAAGGTACCTCTAAATATCTGTCAGACTGTTACTTTGCAGCAGCTGTCTATTTTTCAGGCATCTATAAGAGACTGAAGTTCAGTAAGAAGTATTTGATTAAGCAATATAATTTATATACACAAATATAATTGTGTATACTGTGGCTTGCTTTTTTTTCAGCCTAATGAGTTAAACTCCAGCCCTATATTTATTTTCAGTCTGTTTGCAAGGTATGCAAAGTGATTTTTTTGTTGTTGTTGTTAATTAAATGTACTCTGTGTGTTTCTGTTTTCATAAGTTTTAAAATTATTTACTGCAGAGCATGCTCAGGCTTTTGGTTATATAAACAGTTATATATGTGTATACATACACTCAAAGTGTGTAAAAATACTGCAACTGTAAATTAAAGGATTATGAAAGGTGATGGGTTTCATTGTTCTTGTAGACAGTTTTTAATCTTTTCTGTGGTTCTGTTTTGTTTGTTTGGTTGTTTTACAGTTAAAGAATCTGAGTTTAGAAGAATTACAGATGCGATTAAAGGCTTTGGACCCTATGATGGAACGAGAAATTGAGGAGCTTCGTCAGAGGTACACTGCAAAGAGGCAACCTATCCTAGATGCAATGGATGCAAAGAAACGGAGGCAACAAAATTTCTGAGTTTGTTTTACTTTCAGAGATAATACTATGAGTCATTGTGGACACTGGTAACTTTGTAAATCTGAAGGAATTAGATTATGAGAGTTTTCAAAAGACCAACCTTTTCAATTTTCCTTCACAGCCAATTACAATTGGAGCAGTGAAAGAACATACATATGGTGTTCTGCAAAGGCAGCGAAACACATTGCCACTTGTTTATATTTTCAGATGTTTAATGTAATAAAAGTTTAATCTGTTTCTTCCCAATCTTTTTCAGGTGTATAGTGTTAACTTGGTGTTGTACATTAGGAGTTGTGTTTTGGAGCACCTGGAATGATTTCTTGATTGTGCAACACTACAGAGCCTTATGTTGCAATGTATTTTCCTCCCACTTAGTAGCATATTTATTGTGTAATCTTTGGTTATCCTATTTATTTTATGCCTGTTTTCTTTTTTATTAGGAAATATTAGGATAATATTGTGGTGAGCTGAGCCAGATTAGATAAAATTGGTATTGTTAGTATAATGAAAAGAAGCTCACCACTGTATTATCTTTTAAAACTCCAATTTCAGCAAGCATCCCAATTCAGGACAGCACTTGAACATGTATCTCACCCATTCATATCAGTAGATTTAAACATAAAATAAGTAATAGACACATGTTTTTCTGCTCTCCTGAATCAGGGACTGTGGCTGTAGTTGAGTAATGCAGTTGTTACGCTACAGAGCATTCTTTTAGAGAGTTTTTCTGTCATTTTTACGCACACCAAATGATCTCTCATTAAACAAGAAAACAAGTGCCTAATCAGTTTTGATTTTCCTGTAATTCAGGAGAAGCAGTACTTGCAGTCACTCCTTCAGTGTAAATTTCCAATTGCTATTGCAATTCTGACCAGTATAAACCTATATTTTGCACCGTAATTTTGTAATGAAGTAACAGTTACACTTTCTGGATATGTTTTTTGTTCATTTAATATTTTTATCACTGTGTTGAGGGGAAAGGGGAGTTATTAGTGTTTGGGGTTTGGTTTAGTTTCACATTTTAGATACAAAGGGATAGTAATTTAAAAGCCAAAGAAAAAAAAAAAAAAAGAATACTTATATATAATAAGTATTGAAAAGAAGCCGTGTTTGCAGTCCTCTGACAGTTTTGTCCTGCAACCGCTAAACATTCAAAATTCCTGTAGTCCTCTTAGACTATGGGGAATCACAAATGCAGGACTAAGCTCTTAATACCTTTTTACAAGTTTTTCTGTCTGGTTTATATTGTGAGATATCTAGTAGGTAGAATTTACAACATTGCAAGAAATATTTCAGAGTTAGCAGAAAATGTGATCCACTTTCTGAAAAATCTACTGTGTTCTCTATTGATATATTTACTATTGTTGCCTTTTGTGTAAATAACTTCACTGTGATAGTCATACTTCTTTAATCAATACAGCTGGAAACATCTTTACATTCAACCTTCAGCTGTTAAACTTTTAATGGTGACTACTGTATGGGCATCCTCTGTTAAATGTTTTCTGGAAGTTAGTAATCATCTCGTACCTCTTAACATTTACTGTGGACCATTTAGATGGACCAGTGCAGATTTTGGAAATGATGCATTATATCATAAAGCTTATGCAAAAGAGAAGCTAAAGTTTTTACAAGATCAGCATATGACTGCCATGCTGGGACCAGTACTTGGGTTTGAGCTGTATACAGCCACTGTTGTCATTGTCATTCTGTGTGTGTGTTTGTGTGCACACTACGCTCTAACATGTAAGCCCTAAACTCAGATAAATTTTAGTTGTGATTGTTAGAACATCCTTACCCTCAATTCTCTTCATATTTCTTAAAGTAATTGACTATCCCTTATGAAAAAGAAGAACACAGAAGATCCATAAAAATTACTTTAGGCAAGATAAAATGTACCTGGTCGTCACATTTGTAAAATGAAATGATGTAAAGTAAAAAATGGTATACTCATATCCCTGTGTCATTAGATTATAATCATAATGCAGCAAAAATAACAGCACCAACCTCCCCCTATTAGTATGGTTCTTATTTATTTAAAATTAATTTCTAATTCTTGAACTTCATTCTCAAAAACTCGAAGGTGTGTGTGCGTACAAGTACTCCTGTAGGTATACACACATATATAGGCATATCTATATATGTAAGAAAAAATATGAACCAGATTTAAACCATCAGGAGATGAGCCTAGCTTGCCTTTTCTTGGTGTGCCTTTTAAGCAAAGTGTCATTGTCCAGACACTCTTGCTGGCATCATTAGCAGCTTTCTTTTCTCTTACTCTCTTAAATTTTTCCCACTAAAAATAAGACTTTGATTTTGAATAATGTGGCTTTACAGTGTAATAGACAATGTAATAAAATGATCACAATTTTCATATTTTACATATTCTAAAAACTTTAGTAATGCAGTGCACTAAGGATGAATTGCCTATCCAGAGGGACTCCAGTAAAAGGCTGTTTTAGACTAGAGCTGTTGGACTCTGACATTTGAAAGGTATCAGAAGATAAAGAACATCCTTTCTTCACTCCTGATCTGTCTGTATAGAAACAACTTGAGTAAATTTTATGCACATGTATGCACACAGGTATGGATTATACATGCAGCAGAAAAGTCTGAAAGCCATGGAATAAAATAAAAAAGTAAACAAGCCGCTTAAAAATGGGTGGAAAAGAGCTTTTGATATACTGTAAACTGGGTAGATATAAGACATTTGTGACCAAAGAATACTTTCACCAACTAATATAAAACTAGTGATGTGGTGCAGTCAGTGTAAGAGTTGTCTTTGGCTTCAGAAGCCAGTGTATTGGGCTCTAAATTATGTGCAAGCATAACACATAGAAATAGGCTTTATACTGAGAGATGGATGCAACTTATTTTTTCTTTCTTCTGTTTATATGAATCAAATAATCCATGTTGATGACTACACATTTCTACTACAGGATGAGCATCTCTGTAAAGGAAAGCTGATAGTATGATAAATAAAACATTTTAAAAGCAAGCCTTGCAGGAAATCTGATAGAACTACTGACAAATTAACCTTCAGTAAGATTTTAACCAAGTAATTTCTCGTTTGCTTCAGACTTTGTATGTCTAGGTTTAGCAAGTAAAAAAAAAAAAATTTTGGAAAATCATTACTTATTACTAAACATTTGTAATAAAAGCTAATTTTTCATGTATAATTGTTGCCTTGTTCATTCTAACTGAAGCTATATTATGTTAATATAACCATTAATGTTCATTTCCATAGTCATCTCTCATGCTTTTATTTCCTTTCTGTAATGCTGTGAGCCCAGCTGTGAGCGCAGAAAACCGCATCTCTCAAAGTCAGCGCTGGAAAGGATCTTTCCAGCTCAAAACGTTGCTGCAAGCTCTAGAACTCTGAGGATCTCAGTGGAAGAGTATCAGGCCAGTCTAAGGACACAAAGCCTCAATCTTTGTGGAAGTCTCTCTCTCGACAATCTGAGATTGCTAAAGGCCCAATCCTGAGAGCACTTAGCACCACCCCAATACACTGGAAGTCTTCATAGACATCTTTTACTTGGAGATACTAGTGGACATCATCAGCTTTCGGTGCTGCTATGATTTTTCTAGTGTAGTGAGAACCACAGGTAGTGGATGGGCCTAACTAGAAGTGAATACATTTAATTTCTCAGATTTTATGCCATTGCCCATTTCTCTTCTGATTTTTAAAAATTATTCTCTAAGAATTTGCCCTCAAAGAAACTTCAGTAAAAGGGACTCCTGAACAAAACTCCTTAGTGAGCCATGGTGTGATTGAAGTAATGAAATTCTACTGCTAATCTGAATTAATCAGACAATTACTGGATATTCTAATTATTTGCTGTTTATTTACAATAACTAATAGCTTGCCTATATCTGCCCAAGTATACTCGGGTGAGAGTGCACAGTGGCTCAGGTTGCTTCTCCATCTGGTGTGTTGAACTTCCAAATATAAATACGGCTCATGGTGAGTGAATCCATGCACAAGTATGTAAGAGACCTTTAGTCACCATTAATAGGCACTGGTGCTTCCAGGCAGAGTGTATACTGTACAACTTCTGTAAAACACTGTGTGCACACTGGTTTATGGATGGGATATGATGAGGGTTACATTTTCTTTTTAAGTGTAGACATGGTCATAAAATTAATTTAAAAGACTGACGATGTGAAGAAGTCTTTATTTCTTTGCATTCACAAACATTAAGGGCTCCAGCTTACTGTGGCATTTCCTTCTGTACTTCCAAGGGCGGTGATGGTCATTCTGTAATGTCATACAGCTGGCTGGGAGACTGACTTTGGGTCAGTTCTGTACCAGGCTGTGGTGCAGCAGTGTTATGCCCACTATTGCTAGTGAAAGCCTGGGCAGTGTGTGGTGTTTCTCACCATTGTGTTGTGCCAGGTGAAGTAATGCTTAATCTCTTGGGGGAAAGGCAAAAATACATTGATGGTTCAGTGTAAAATCATTAAGTTGCACTTAGGGACTTGCCCTGTTAAGCTTGTTTTAAAATACCTTTTCACAAAATGTGTTTCTCCTCTCTGTTTGGTGTATTCATGATGGAAGGGGACTACCATTTTCTCGATGTGCCCTTGTCCTTTTTTTGGTTTTGTTTTGGTTTGGTTTAATTTTTTAGGGCTTTTAAAGAATATTTGAGAATTCCCCATATTATGCTTTTTCTCTTCCCCCTACTTGGGAAGATGAATGTGGGCATTACTTTTAAGAGCATCCCCTGCACCAAGTGTTCTTGGGACATGTAAATGTCAGCAACAGCTTTTATTCTCTTCTGGTGAGAGATCACTGAAGTAAAGTCTCAGCTGTCCTGTTTTCCCGTCATTTGACAATATGGGATGTTAGATTCTAATCAAATCTTTCAGAATATTTGTTAGTCCCAGACAGACTAGATACGAGGTACTTTTTTCCATTCTTTGCTTCACAAATTCCTCAGGATAGATTCATGCATAGTTTCACGAGGCCTTGGAGAGTCTTCTGGGTTAGAAAAGAGGTATATTTGTCACAGAAACAGGAAGAAAGAAATCAGTAAACATTTTTTTCTTCGGAGAGAAAAGAAAAAGCATTTGCATTGCCCCTGGCCAGTTTGCTTATGAGGCTAGCTACAGGTGTGAGGAAAAAAAGTGCTGGCTGACAAAAGCAAATCAGGTAGTCATCTGTGTAACTAACTGTTCTATGTTGCTGTTTCACATCTGATTTTCTTCCATTCATGTTTATTGTCTTTTATGTTTCTGCTTTATTTATTCAGTTGCCACTTTTAAAGATAGTTTTAATTTTTTGAGATGTTATAAATGGAAACATGCCATGACAGTGCCAAGTAAATAAACATGGGGAAAAAAAAAAAAAAAAAAACACAAAACCCAAACCCCTAACTCACTGAAAGGGTGGTGTTTTCTCCTCTTTTCCTCCCCGATGCCTTTCTGGGGTCGTGGAGGGTTTTGACTGCAGATGGTGTTTGTCTCTGCATGGAGACACTTTCCATGCTCTAACCCTGGGCAGACATGGGTGGAGGTGGTTTTGTCAGGAGGCCTGAATGAGCTGTGCACCTACTCAGGATATCATGCAAGTGGTGTGCCCTGCTGGGATCCACAGTCCCCCTCCTACCCTCCTCCTCCTCCTGTCCCTCCCACACTGCTGTGGAGACCCTGAGGCTCCTGCAAAGTGTGAGGAAGGAACATGAAGCAGCGGGTACCGCTTTGCCGCCCAAAGCCTTAGCATGAATCTGGAAGCTGTTGATCAGCACCAGGGTAGCAGTGTGCTCAAATCAATGCCTGCTTTGCAGGACCCAGCTCCTTATCTCAGGGCCAAGGCCTTGCCATGCTGGCAAATGGCTTTTGATGCAACTTTCCTTTGTTGACAGAACTGCAGAATGGTCGTAGCCGGCATGCCAACACCAAGCTATCTGAAAATCACATTTAACCTTTGGAAAGAAAAAAGTTCCTTGTGTCTGTTTTTATACCAATGTACAAAAAGCGTTTAGTGTCCCTTAGGAAATTATTTCAGTGCAGTGGAGGAGCCTGTAACAGCATCAGCCAACGATCGCTTTCTGCCCTACACCAGCATGTTTCTTAGTCCAGTAGCGCTATCCCTTGGCCTCCCAAATTCTTGCTGTAGGCACTGGGTTTAGCTTTGCTAGAAGTCATGGTGGGAGCAGAAAGTTTTCATGTGCTGCAAGCAAACAGCCGGAGTCCTCGCCTGATGCTGGTACTTCTCCAGTGCAAACAGGCCTTTCTAGAGGCCACAGAAAATTCAGAGGGGAAAAAGTGGGCAGTAAGCAAGGAGCTGCCTGGAGCCAGCCAGCAGGAAATCATTGGAAGGAATTAAACTAATCTGATTCTGGGCCCAAATGCTGGTTTTCTGTCTGTCACAATGGGGAAAAACAGTAATGGTATTTACCTGTGCAGTGCAAACCCCAGCAACCTTCAAAATTTTTTTCTTTAGGTGTCATAACTTCATGTATCAGATTTGTAAATATAAATGGCCACATGGTAATGTATCTATTTTTCTCTGACAAATTAATTAACCTCTGTTCTTTACTAAAGACCCAGACTCTTCTCCCTGCAGATATTTCTTCTGAGGACAGATATTTTATGTTACAGTATCTCTCCGTAGCCAACTCTGAGAGGAACATAGCCCGCCTTGTCCTGTTTCTCCCCTCAGGGATTGTATTTGGAGCTGACCAGTATAATCATTATTTCTCTGTACACAGGTGTGCGCAGACACACACACAAGCACACCCCCTCTACCTCTTATTCATCCTTTCATTCCCTTGGTGTGACTGAAAGGACCGATGCACAAGAAGACGGCCATGGCCCTCAGATGTTTATAACACTGCTTTTTCCCCTCTTTAGATCTTTCTGCTGCTTTGCACTCCTCCTGGGCTTCCAAAGCCTGCATGGTTACTCTTAAGGAAAAACTCACAGCCAGTACATCAAAGAGGGAGACCAAAAGCTTTTTTTTGATTTATCTGACACTAAGCCTTTAGTGTGATGCATCAATTGATATTTCATTTTTATTACAGTACAATGGGGTATACAGATTTAACAGCAAGAGGTGTCCTTTTGATCTCTCATCACACATGAAAACAGGTGTCATAGTCCAGAGATTATGAAGGTCAGAGATTATTTGAAG